GGCTTTTCCCCCTTTCATTCTATAATGCCTCACGTACCCCACCACACTTCATTCGCTCTTCTTCACTCCCAAAAGAGGTATACCTCCCTGGCAGTGCAGAAATTACCCCCTCCTTTCTTCCTCAACATTTAAAAGTTTCCCCAAAATATTTCGCCATCTACCAAACCCCCCTCTCCCCCTTCAACTCCCTACTCTTTTTTAACTGCAAATCCCTACTTTCCTTAGGCTTTTTTTAAATTGTTTAACTATCCAAAATTTTTCTTATTTTTAAAAATTTTTTGACAGGCCCCTTTCCCCCCTTTTATTGGCCTCCTTTTGCACTCTTCACCACTCTCTTCACCCTTTTTTTTACTCTCCCTATTCGCTTTCTTATAACACTTTGCTTTTTAAAAAAACCCTCTCGTAAGCTACCTTTTCTCTTTTATCACACCCTTTACTTCTTTCATTCCACCAATCACTCCTTTTTTCCTCCTGCCCCCACCTCCTATAACCAAAAACTTCTGCCCCACATTCTAATACTGCATTTTTAAAACATTCCAACCCTCTTCAACCCCCCCCCCCCCCCCTACTCATCTTTGCACTAGCCCACCTTTCTGCCAATAGTCGCTTATATCTCGCCCGAACTCCCTCCTCCCTTAGTTTATACACTTTCACCTCCCTCTTACTCTAACTGTAGCTACAACTAAATAATGATCCGATATATCAGTTGCCCCTCTATAAACATGTACATCCTGGAGCCTACCCATCAACCTTTTATCCACCAATACATAATCTAACAAACTACTTTCATTACGTGCTACATCATACCTTGTATATTAATTTATCCTCTTTTTCATAAAATATGTATTACTTATTACCAAATTTCTTTCTACACATAGCTCAATTAAAGGCTCCTCATTTACATTTACCCCTGGCACCCAAATTTACCTACTATCTTTCCTCCATAACATTTTTACCCACTTTAGCATTGAAATCCCCAACCACCATTACCTCACACTTGATTCAAAAATCCCCACGCATTCACTCAACTTTTCCCAGAATCTCTCTCTCTCCTCTACACTTCTCTCTTCTCCAGGTGCATACACACTTACTATAACCCACTTTTCACACCCAATCTTTATTTTACTCCACATAATCCTTGAATTTATACATTGTAGTCCCTCTTTTCCTGCCATAGCTTATCCTTCAACATTATTGCTACTCCTTCTTTAGCTCTACCTCTATTTGAAACCCCTGACCTATCCCATTTATTCCTCTCCATTTAAAACTCTCCCACCCCCTTCAGCTTTGTTTCACTTAAAGCCAGGACATCCAGTTTCTTCTCATTCATAACATCCACAATCATCTCTTTCTTATCATTTGCACAACATCCACGCACATTCAGACTTCCCACTTTGACAATTTTCTTCTTCTTATTCTTTTTAGTAATCTTTACAGGAAAAGGGGTTACTAGCCCATTGTTCCCGGCATTTTAGTTGACTTTTACAACACGCATGGCTTACGGAGGGAAAGATTCTTATTCCACTTCCCCATGGATAAAATATGTATATGTATATATATATATATATATATATATATAATATATTTATATATATAATATTATATATATATATATATATATATATATATATATATAATATATATAAAATATATATATATAATATATATTATATTTAAAATAAAATATATATAATATATATAATATATACATACATCATACATACATACATACTCATACATATATACACATAATGGTAAGCATTTTTTACATCTAGCAAAGTCAGGGTAATTTTTCCAGAAAAGTTGTAAATACCACTGTGATAAATACTTTGATCCAAGGAATGAGTACAGATGGAAATTTAAGAGTATAATTTTTCCATGAAGTCTAGGTTCATTTCAAGCCATTTTCTGGTTAAAATTGAGCATATTCTAAAGTATGTACTTATACTTCTGAGGCTACACTTTTTTGCATTTTACAGTTTAATTAAAGTTTAGTAAATAAATGTCTTTTTTTTTTTTACACATCAGCCTTTTCCCACCAAGACAAGGTGACCCACAAAGAAAGAAAAAACTTTTATCGTCGTTCAACACTTTCACCATCATTCATACATAATCACTGTCTTTGCAGAAGTGCCCAGATGTGACAGTTTAGATGTGACTCCAAACAGTCAATATTCTTAACCCTTCCTTTAAAGTGCAGGCATTGTATTTCCCACCTCCAGGACTGAAGCCTGGCAAAATACTGTTAGATATGCATTTCAGAGCAGAATAGAGAAATTGGTAGTGGGATGCCTTAATATTAAAATTTGGTGAACTCGTTGTGATTTGAACTGATATATTGGATCATTATCTATTTGTAGCTACAGTTAGAGTAAGAGGTAGATGGGACAAGAGGAAAATGGCAACAACAATTAAGAGGGAGGTGAAAGTGTATAAACTAAGGGAGGCGGAAGTTCAGGTGAGACATAAGCAACTATTGGCAGAAAGGTGGGCTGGTGCAAGTATGAGTAGTGGGGGGGGGGGGTGAAGAGTTTTAAAAATGCAGTAGTAGAATGTGGGGCAGAAGTTTGTAGCTATAGGAGGGTGGGTGCAGGAGGAAAGAGGAGTGATTGGTGGAATGATGAAGTAAAGGGTGTGATAAAAGAGAGAAAGGTAGCTTATGAGAGGTTTTTACAAAGCAGAAGTGTTACAAGAAGAGCAGAGTATATGGAGAGTAAAAGAAAGGTAAAGAGAGTGGTGAGAGAGTGCAAAAGGAGAGCAGAAGATAGAGTGGGAGAGGCACTGTCAAGAAATTTTAATGAAAATAAGAAACAATTTTGGAGTGAGTTAAACAAGTTAAGAAAGCCTAGGGAACAAATGGATTTGTCAGTTAAAAACAGAGTAGGAGAGTTAGTAGATGGGGAGATGGAGGTATTGAGTAGATGGCGAGAATACTTTAAGGAACTTTTAAATGTCGACGAAGAATGGGAGGCGGTAATTCCATGCACTGGCCAGGAAGGTATGCCATCTTTTAGGAGTGAAGAAGAGCAGGATGTAAGTGTGGGGGAGGTGCGTGAGGCATTACTTGAATGAAAGGGGGTAAAGCAACTGGAACTGACGGGATCATGACAGAAAAGTTAAAAGCAGGGGGGGATATAGTGTTGGAGTGGTTGGTATTTTTGTCTAGTAAATATATGAAAGGGGGGAAGGTACCTAAGGATTGGCAGAGAGCATGTATAGTCCCTTTATATAAAGGGAAGGGGAACAAAAGAGATTGTAAAAATTATAGAGAAATTAGTTTACTGAGTATACCAGGAAAAGTGTACAGTAGAGTTATTATTGAAAAAATTAGAGGTAAGACAGAATGTAGGATTGCGGATGAGCAAGGAGGTTTTAGAGTGGGTAGGGGATGTGTAGATCAGGTATTTACATTGAAGCATATATGTGAACAGTATTTATATAAAGGTTGGGAAATTTTTATTGCATTTATGGATTTAGAAAAGGCATATGATAGAGTGGATAGGGGAGCAATGTGGCAGATGTTGCAAGTATATGGAATAGGTGGTAAGTTACTAAATGCTGTAAAGAGTTTTTATGAGGACAGTGAGGCTCAGGTTAGGGTGTGTAGAAGAGAGGGAGACTACTTCCTGGTAAAAGTAGGTCTTAGACAGGGATGTGTAATGTCATCATGGTTGTTTAATATATTTATAGATGGAGTTGTAAAAGAAGTAAATGCTAGGGTGCTCGGGAGAGGGGTGGGATTAAATTATGGGGAATCAAATACAAAATGGGAAGTGACACAGTTACTTTTTGCTGATGATACTGTGCTTATGGGTGAGTCTAAAGAAAAATTGCAGAGGTTAGTGGACGAATTTGGGAGTGTGTGTAAAGGTAGAAAGTTGAAAGTGAACATAGAAAAGAGTAAGGTGATGAGGGTATCAAATGATGTAGATAAAGAAAAATTGGATATCAATTGGGGAGGAGGAGTATGGAAGAAGTGAATGTTTTCAGATATTTGGGAGTTGACGTATCAGCGGATGGATTTATGAAGGATGAGGTTAATCATAGAATTGATGAGGGAAAAAAGGTGAGTGGTGCATTGAGGTATATGTGGAGACAAGGAATGTTATCTATGGAGGCAAAGAAAGGAATGTATGAAAGTACATATAGTGGTACCAACCCTCTTATATGGATGTGAAGCTTGGGTTGTAAATGCTGCAGCGAGGAGGTAGTTGGAGGTAGTGGAGATGTCCTGTCTAAGGGCAATGTGTGGTGTAAATATTATGCAGAAAATTTGGAGTGTGGAAATTAGGAGGCGTGGAGTTAATAAAAGTATTAGTCAGAGGGCTGAAGAGGGGTTGTTGAGGTAGTTTGGTCATTTAGAGAGAATGGATCAAAGTAGAATGACATGGAGAGTGTATAAATCTGTAGGGGAAGGAAGGCAGGGTAGGGGTCGTCCTCGAAAGGGTTGGAGGGAGGGGGTAAAGGAGGTTTTGTGGGTGAGGGGCTTGGACTTCCAGCAAGCGTGCGTGAGCGTGTTAAATAGGAGTTAATGGAGATGAATGGTATTTGGGACCTGACGAGCTGTTGGAGTGTGGGCAGGGTAATATTTAGTGAAGGGATTCAGGGAAACCAGTTATTTTATATAGTTGGACTTGAGTCCTGGAAATGGGAAGTACAATGCCTGCACTTTAAAGGAGGGGTTTGGGATATTGGCAGTTTGGAGGGATATGTTGTGTATCTTTATATGTATATGCTTCTAAACTGTTGTATTCTGAGCACCTCTCCAAAAACAGTGATTATGTGTGAGTGAGGTGAAAGTGTTGAATGATGATGAAAGTATTTTCTTTTTGGGTCACCCTGCCTCTGTGGGAAACGGCTGACTTGTTAAAAAAAAAAAAAATTTAGTTATTGTGACTGATCATTGTCAATTATAACTTTTCTGCCAACTTTACGTAATGTTTAATAAGTACTGAACCACCGATACAAATGATGTAATACAGTTGTGTCTGTCATCACAGGTAACATTGCTTTGCATATCATGAAACCTCAGCAGAGAGAAATCTATAACCTGGAGACTCTGTGGACAGTTGGTCCACAGTATGATGAGCAATGTCAGGAGAAAGAAGAGAGTCTCATGGACATGTCTGATCCTTTGGCTGGATTCACAGCATCAACCCTTCCTTCTGAAAATAAATCAGTGTAAATGCTAGATGTTGCTTTTTCTATGACATTAATTTTATTTTCTGTTATGCATTATTAATTTAGGCTTCAGATGTTTTGACTCTTCACTTTCTATTTTCCAGCTTTAATAAAAAGTTCAGTTTAGTTTTAATTTGTTCAGTGAACTATACTGGAATGTTTGTGACTACCATTATTGAGTAAGCGAGAGATAACACTCCAGTACTTATTCAATGTATAAAAGTTAGACTTGGTTTGATAACTAGATTTGCATTAGTTAGATCATAGAATAATACAGTATATAATTTTATTTAACACGTATAAAGTTAGACTTGGTTGATAAGTAGATTCATTTTAATAGAACCATAGAATAATACATGAAGCGGACTTGATCCATTTCATCACAGGTATATCCGATCAGCACTTCATCCACAATCTTTCCATTTTCATTATTCCTGGACAAGTGGCTCTGCCCAGGAACAACAAGCATACACACTTGCATACTATCATCATTTGGTCTCCAATTTTTCTGTGGACTTAGTGTTTATTGTCATTAAAGTATAGTGTACAGTGTTATTAACAGTGTTGCCAAGAAGTGTGTGAACTTGAGTGTTAAGCAGAAATTTTAATTTCAGAAATTTGATTTTGCCTCATTGAAAAGACTAGTTACTATTTTTGTCCAAGCTTGCCTATATAGTGGATTTTTTATTATAAATTCATTTGAAAAAATGCATTCAAAATCAAATAGCATGTGAAAAGGACTTCACAGTATGTGCAATTTGATTTTGGATGCACTTTCAATTGAATTTATAAACAATTGCAGTACGTAAATTTATTTATTCCATTACTTTTCCCGCTAGTTATCCTCAGCCTTTTAGTGCTTTATGGCCCATATGGCTTTCAAGCCATATTGGTCATGTGTACAGCAACATTGGGGGTAACTCAAGGACTGCAAAGTGACTGAAAAAATCAAGTTCTTTGTGAGGTTAGAGTGGGAGTAACGCAGCTCAACCGTAACCATTTTTCCCTTATAATTTTCTATACCTGTATCCACCAATAACCAAACTGTGAAACCAGGTACTGTATTTGATACTGACACGATGAGGAAAATAACACCTGTGTAAACACTTAAGACATTTTGTTAGGAAACATCTTGGTCCTGGGACTTTGTTCATTCCTATGATAGGAGAGAACATGGTCTCAGGACTGGCACATTTCTTAATGAAATGAGCCAAGTGTTTGCACACGTGTCCTTGTTTTAATAAACAAATTGCAATAATTGTATGGTTGTCTGATTTTGCCACTAGGCACAAAAGCTCTCGCTTCGCACGGTGAGGGTCTGGATTCGATTCCCGCCAAGGGTAGAGACATTGGGTGTGTTTCCTTACACCAGTTGTCCCAGTTCACCCATCAATAAAGTGGGTACCTGGGTGTTAGTCGACTAGTGTGGGTCGCATCCTGAGACAAAATTGACCTAATTTGCCAGAAATGCTCTGCATAACAAGGTTTTTTTTTTATATATAGTTTTATATATTAGTTTTATTATCAGTTTTTATATTAGTTTAATATGTTTATTATGCACCCCATACCCATCCTGTGGGTGGTAGTCAAAAGATTACAGAGGTACATAATTGGCCCCGGGGGGTGGATCCAAAGTTTTTGTAGTGCGTTACCAAAGGAAATGAAATAGGGGTTTTTTTAAACTTGCCATTTATTAGCGGGAAAAAAAACCCGAATTCCTTACATTTTAAACTTTTTGGGAAATTTAAATTATTAAAGGTATTATTTTTTTAAATATATTTAAAATTTTTTTTTTTTTAATTATTATTATTATTTTTATTAAAAAATACTCTTTCGTTAAAAATTCAAGCTCTTTTATTTTAAAGGGATGGGTTGAAAGTTGAAATAATTTTGTCGTTGGGGTTTTTCCTGGGATAAAAACCAGCAGTGAGGAGTTTACCTGGAAAAAGGGGTTCCGGGGGTAAATTGCCCCCGCGGCCCGGCTGTGACAGGTCATACGGGCCCCAGGGGTTATTGGTAATCCCCATTTTGATGCTGGGAGGCGTTAAGCGGGTTTTTGGGCCCCCTGCCCCATTTTATTGATTGTTTTTTAAAGTGCAAATTTTTGAACCCCTGCTTTTCTTTTTGGGGTTGTTGATCGTCTGCCGAGTTTTTTTGTTTTTCTTTTGTGAGTAATTTTTGTGTGAAAGGTTCGGTATTTCCCCCCTTAGTAGAAGAGTTATTTCCCGGGATGGTTTCCTCAGCTTTGTCAGCGTGCCTCATTGGCCCCGGGTTTTTTTCGTGTTTACACAGTCGCTCTTACGTGCTAAAAACTTTAATTTGTGCCTAAATCCTTTACGATCCCACCCCTCTAGCGCCGGGAAAAACCCAAAACCCTTGGGGGGGGGGAAAACATTATATACTGATTTAAAAAAAGGGAAAATTTAGTGTGCACTACCTAGCGAGTTTACTGCCAGAGGGGAATCATGGGCCCTGTTTTTTCCGTGTGCAAAATAAAATATAGAATTTTCTTTGTAGAGGAAAAAAAAAGTCTCCCTGATAACTTTGGGGGTTTTAACATAGTGTTTAGTTTTTTAAAACAGTGGCCCCCTAGTTTTTATGTTGATAAAGGCTAAATTTTGTCTTTTGAAAAAAGGTAAATTTTGTAAATGAAGTGTTTAAGATAGGGGGGGGCCCAGAAGTCGCCGGGAACCCTTCCTTTAGGGTCAGCTTTTTTTAAAAATCTTCCGGGGCCTGCTGTTGTACTCACATATAATCTATTTGATACCAGTGAATGCAAAAATCCCGTGTTGTAGTAGAAAAATAAAAAGAAATTATAATGGTATTAGTGGAGTGGAGTGGAATTTCTTTTAGTTTCTTTTTTTAAAATTCCCAAGATTTAAATTTTGAATTTTCATATAACCTGTAGTTACCATCGAGCAATATACACAACGAAAAAAAACCCCAATTATTACTACAAAAAAAAGTGCCCTTCCCCAAAAAAATTTCCCCCAGTCAAACTATAGTGATAATATAGCATTTATTGTGGTGGAGACGAAAAAACTAGAAAAGTAGCTAAAAGGGGGATTGATAAACAAGGGTTGAGGCTCGGCGTTGTCATTGTAGGGCTGCCGGGAAATCCCCGGGTTTTCTTAACACGAAGTTTTTACTTTTTTTATAAAATCAAATCACATATTATGGGGTAGTAATTTCAATTTAGTTTCCTTCATGTGTTAAAGGCCCAAATCCCGCCCAGTATGTTTTAAATAAGGGGACCCACGGTTTCAGATCAGATCGACTGGTCCAAAACCCTGTTTGGCCCAAAACCCCTTTTGTGGCCCAAAACCCTTGACTGGTTACAAACGGTTTCGTTGGCAAAAAGGGCAGACTAAAAAAAGATGGGGTTGTAGGGGCCCTTTATCAAACACAAACAATAAATAAAAATTCGGGAAAAGTCCCGGGAAAGCTGCCCAAATTAAAAAGTACAGTTGGGAAATAAAAAATCCCAAATTTTTTAGAGCTTCTTTTTAAAGGAGGTTATTAATAGAGTTTTCCCAAGGGTTTGCTAGTAAAATTTACCAGAAAATCAACCTTCCCAATTTCATTATAAAGCTCTTTTGTGGGTCTGGTCAATCAAAAAAAAACGGGCTTCCACATGGAAAAATTTTGTTTTTTTTGGGGAAAATTGGTGTCACCCCCCTCTTTTTGCAGATATCCAAAAAACTAGCTACAAGCAGAAATTAAAAACAGGGAAGTTTTTTTGGGGTAGGGCCCAATGAGTTTAAATCTGTGAACAAAAAATACAAGGGTATTAAAAGAGGATAACATCAAAGCTGCTTTCATAGAAAACCCGGGAAAGTTTTTTACAACAGTGGGAAAAAAAAAAGTCTGGGTGAATGGTACTGCCCTTGATACGGGGCCTTGTGGGCCCAGAAACGGGAAAGGTGGGGGGTGATGTCCGGGTTTGTCAGTAAATGGGGGGTGATAGGTTTGTCCTGGGAGACAGAAAGGGTAAAGGGTGGGGTGCTGTTTGGGAGCAGTAAGGGTTTTGAAAAATGGGTTTTTGTCCGGGTTAGTGGGGAAAAATTAATTACCGCAGGAAGGAATACTTTAAATGCCCTCAAAAGGGGGACAGGAGCCATAGTGGGGAAACAATTTGAAGTCAAAGTTAAGAAAAAACCAATTTTCCAAAACTGGGAAATCCCAAAAGGAAAAAGCAAGCAAGGGACCCCAACAAGCAAAAATGGGGGATATATTCCCAAAAAAAACGGGCTGGTGGGGCCCATTGTTGGTGCTAGGGGGATGGGAAATTTAAGACAGGTAAAAAACCCAAAACCAAAAAGGGGAAAAACCCGGGCAAAAAACCCCAAAGGAAAAACGGAAACCAACCCTGTGCACTTACTATGCACTTGGATCTGCAGTTTTGGGAAATCGGGGGAAAAAACAGATGGGGTCCCAACCAAAGGCCCCCCTTAAAAATTGCCGTGCCCATATGACAAAAGGAAAATGCAAACCCCCCTTCCCGGGAAGCTTTTTCACCCTAAAATTTTGTACCTCTTCAGTACAGGAAAGCTGTGCTAAAACCCTTAAATTCCCCAGGCCCCCAAGGGGTTTTTAAAGGGCCCCCAAAAAAAGTAAAAAACCACGGCCAGGGGAAAAAACCGGGGTACCACACCCCACTCAAGAGGGAGGGGGTTTTTTAGTCCCGGGAAAGGGAAAAAAAAAAAATGGAGGAAATGGAAAAATTTGACACCAAATCCATTCTTTCCCTGGGTGGAACCCCCTTTTCGATGGCCTCCACTCCAAACCAACAGATACCGATACAAAGGGGGGGAAAAAAAAAATACCCCCCAAGTACCAACAATACCCCCGGCGTTACATTCTTCTTTGAAATATACAGGGTCTAAACCCTGCAATGAACAACAAAATTCCTTTCTTGTGGACTGCTTGCAGAGGCCAAAAAAAATGTTCATGGCTTTCACAAAGGGGGCCCAAATAAAGGGTCACTTGGCAACGAAAAATTTGGGTCGCAGGTTTAAATCTATTCAGATTTCGGGCAGAGTGAACAGGGAAAACGGGGGGGGGGGGGGGGGTTTGGCCCCGTAATCCCCGAGTTTACTTAAATTTTAAAAGAACTACTTAATGCTCAAATGATGTAGTGAAGTTTTAGCGTAAAGATCGAGGGAAACCCAAAAACCCAGTCCTTGGGGTTTTGTCTCCCAAACCCCCGGATGCAAAGGTTTCCCGCAAAATTTCCCGGGAAAAATGTTAAAAAAGGGCCCCCTTTTGGAAAAACTTCCACCTTTTGCCCCAAAAATCTTGTCCTGGGGGATTTCAACTTGAGGCACCTTAAAAGGGGGGAAAAATTTTGAAAAAAAGTTTGCAAATTTTAAAAACCCGGGGGGCGTCTGACCCAGAACTTCACAAAACCGAGCTTTTAAAAACTCTGCTCAAAATTAACTTAAACCCCCCCAAAAAATAGGCCCCTTGACTGGAGAATACACTTGACCTTTATTTTTCCCCTAAAATAATGATTGATACGAAATTCACCATTCAAAAAAAAAATATACTCAGATCAAACATAATGAGGTTCAGGGGGGGCATGTATGCGGGGGGCCCCAGAAACCCCCCAAAATGAGATTTAGTACGGGGAGCCTTCACCCCAAAATTTAAATTTAATAAAAAGGGGCTAAGGGGGGGACCCGTAAACCAAAATTTCCCCAAAAGATATAAGCTGGGGGAAAATAATAAAACAACACAGACCCAACTTTTGCCTAGAACGATTTAAATCGGGGGCACTCGATTATGCCCCCAGGGTTATTCCTTTAAGAAAAAAGGGAAATGTAGTAGATGAAAATAGGGGGAAAATACAGGCGTCCCTTTACAGGCGGGTGGAAAAGAATAAACAGAGCGTAAAAAAAGGACAATATATCTGAAAAAGATAGGGAGACAATGGTCAGAGAAATAGCAAAAAATCGAACTTAAGCCCAAAAGGAAACTTTTAGGAGTTTTGGAAAACGCCGGGGGAAAAACTAAAAGCCATAAAAGAAATTTAAAAAAACCAAAGTAATTTTTTTTTTATGCCAAAAAAAAAGTCGAGAACAAATTCCCGATTGGGGCCCCTACTTAAACAAGTTTGGGCCCCACCAAGGTGGCAGAAGGAAATGAGTGAGCTCTTAAGTCCCCTTATGACTCAGTTTTTTGCAAGCCGCAACCCCAATGAGAGTTGAAAAATCAAAAAGAATTTTTTATGAGAGAGTTTCGAATTTTTTGGGAAAACCC